CCCCCCCCCGTCACACACACACACACACACACACACCCCAGCACAAAGTGGCCCGCACCACTCTCCAGTCAATTTGGACCAAGGAAAGTCAACCCTCTTCTCAGGATCTTCATGCCTGAGGTGGATTTCTCATCAAACACGGCTCACAAAGGATATGAGCTGCCCATTGTCTGCACTGGGAACGTCGAACGGGGTTTGCTGGGCATGTGGGACGTTAATGGCTATCGTCCTGTAACTGGGTCATATTGCCCCCCTATTAAATTAAATTGCGTCTCATGGGGATTTGTCATACTGACTGCAGTTTTTTTCCTTGCCTGTTCTTTTGAATTTAAAAAGTTCCCTTGTTAGTACAGGGACCTTGGTATCCCACTGTCCCAGAGTCCGATTTCATTCCCACGTTCGTGTTTTCCATGCGGCTGTGAGCTCCCAAGATGTCACCTGGAAAACGGAGAATCCCAGAGGCGCCGGCAGCCGTGTCAGCACCACGTTCTGATGACAGGCGACAATTTTCAGTAACAATATTCTCATGCTGTGATGAATGACCCCCAAACCGTAATAAAATGGCTTTCAAAAAGTCTGAACTACTGGACTATGCAGATATCCTGAAACCGTTGTGGTTTCTAGCCACATGCTTTCAACATTTCTTCATTTCAGTTCATAAAACACTATGAGGAAAGCATACAATAAAAATCCACGTGATTATAACCAGCTGAACATCCTCCTCTGATTTACAATATCAGTTTTTCTTGTTTATCAATTCTCCAGCCCTGTGTAGAGTTTGCATGTTCTTCTGATTTTTGAGTAGCTTTCCTGTGGGTAACCAAGTTTCCATCCACACTAGAGAAAGACATGTGAAAGTGCGAGTGTGTCCTGTGAGGGTCTGCCATCCCATACCCCTGCCTTGTGCCCTGGTTTTACTGGGAGAGGCTGTAGGCTCTCCATAACCCTGTACTGGATAATCTTCACATGTGTATTGAATCACATTTTTATTAAAGGAATTTTTTTAATAAAAAAAAATTTGCAGGTCAGCCTCTTGATTCGGACTAGGAAACATGAGTAAACTGGTGGCAAAGTGGAATGAGCGTTAAGGGACCAAAACACATGAAAATTTTATGCTCGGCTTTTAAGGCAGATGCACGCTTCAGTGGAAGCCAGTGGAAATGCTTGTGGGGCTTTCCGGAAAAGTGCTACTGTACCGCATTGCAGATCCTGAAGATAGGTTTACCATGGTACGGACATTTCTAGAAATTTGCGTGAGTCGTCACAAATCACCTGTCATAGTGGCAGTTGGCCACTAGCACACCCAAACCCAAATACGCCAGTCCCCCCAGACGCCCTGTCCAGCCTTTCCAAAACCAGTGGCTTTGGCTGCTTGATTCACTGGGCGGGCTGGTATCCAAGCCATTCATTACCACGCAAGGCTCCCCAGTGGTAAAATTGGAAAGCAGGAGACGATGTGGATCACAAACTTAACTCCGCACCCTCATTCCAAGAGGATTTGCCCAGGGTTGGATTTGCTGTAATTATAGCCTCAGAATACAGGTAGTGTCTCTCAGCACACTACATTGTTCACTGACCGTGTCTTTTGTATGGTAGGGCTGTTTTTTTCCTGTGTGCTTGCTTGGATCATTTTGCTCTTTTGGTTCAGGTCATCTCTACACCCTCCCTGTTGTACAAGGACACATGGAATGGCTTTCAGTATGATTACTGTGCAGCTTAGGGTGGAAGCCTCTCACTAAGCCCTTACAGGGTTCATTTGACAACACATGGATAAAGTACAGATAAAAGCTCATGATGCCAGCGGTCGCCGAGGAAACCCCTCACATATAAGGCTCCACATGAGGCTACCCCATGAGATTTTCTAGGAATTCTGGGAAAACTGATCCTGACTTGAGCTGTGGAGTCTTATATGAACTGGGGTCTTGTTCCTCATTGTCCTCATTTTCATTTTCAAGTCAGGAGTGACTTCTGTTTGCTCAGCAGATGCTTTCATCCACAGTGTCATTTCGAGTCTGGTCTCATTATTGTTGATGATCATTAAGGATGTTGAAGGATTTTTGTGATGAACAGCCCATGCAAATTTGTTTTGTAGATCTGGTGTATTTTGTCTGGCTTCATTTTCCAGCTTCTTTGGCTTATAATTTAAAAGAATATAATAATTGAATAAAATTAAAAAAAGTAATTTTTTAAATACTTTTATACATAAGGTCTTTGATTTTCTAATTTTATTTTGTTGTTGCTAACAGGAGATGGCATTCCAAAAGAAAGCAGTCCATTCATCAACAACACAGACAATGACACAGGAACCCTCTACGATAGGAAGAACATGGCTCTCTTTGAGGTATGTTCCAGCACGTGAAGTATAAATTCATTCCACCATATTCCATGTTTTTCTGATGCCTCTGTTGCTCTACGATAGCATCAGCTTGTGTCTGTTTTTTGTCAAAATCTCGGATGCTGCCAAAATTTTTGTAAGATTGCGTAACGCCAAGGTGGGGAGAAATGAGTAGGAAAGGCTGCCGCCTTTTTCAAGAAGATAAAATGGGCATTGGGCCAGGGGTGGGGTTCAGGGTCTAGGTCCGTGTTCTAGGATCGAGAGCAAAACCAGAACCTGGTTGCATACCATCATAAATGAGATACATTGTGAATGTGTGGGCTTGTCACCAGACTTTACCCCACATTCCCCCTCCCCATCTTATGAGTTACTTTCAAATATATAGCCAATGGTTGCTGTTGCGAGAAATGTATCCTGTCTAAAGGTTGTACGTTAGGGGATTCTAACCACTGATCTGCAGGCAGTACTGGCCTGTGACCAATATTTCACCAGGCTCCAGAAGACTTGGGTATATGCGATTTTTCAGTGTATCTTTGTACACATTTGCCTGGTCGGCAAGTGTTATAGTATACTGCATAGTCCGGTACAAGAACGGGAAAAGTTTAGAAATCTCTGTTCTGGGTGAATACCCTGTACTGCCCTGATTCTAATTGATTGGCCACCTGGAGAACTATTTGTTGTGAGTAGGTTTGCTGTATGGTGTTGAGCAAGATACCAGCTATTCAATTCACCAATAAAATAGTGGGTTCAGCATTACATTACAATTTAAGTTGCCAACATCTGCAGTGTTGCTTATTCAGTGGATCAAAGACCTCACGGCCCTTTGGTTCTGTCCCTGACTTTAGCCTTTCAGACCACAAAAATAGCCATTTTCGTCTTATAGTGTATAAATAAAGTAAATGACAGGGTATTGAACGTATTTCTATACTACTACATGAATCTGGAAGAGTCCTGAGTCTAGGGAGTTATTCTTGGCTCACAAATCCAAGTGTTTTGTTAAATTTTGACTTGTTTTTCTGCTCAGAATTATGACTTTATATACAAAAAGCTGTAAAAGTTCCTGCACTGTGCAATTAAAAGGAGCCGCTGGAGCCATTTGAGGAGACGGGGGCAGGTCTGGGCTGTGAGGAGCCCAGTGTATCTCTAACATCCCTGACTTTGGTTCTGCAGGAGGAAATGGACAGTAATCCCATGGTCTCATCACTGCTCAGCAATCTGGCCAACTACACCAACCTCACCCAGGGGGTCATCGAACACGAGGAGGAAGACGACGACGAGGGCCAGAGGAAGCAGACTGTCAAGGTGGGCGCTCTTGCTGTGGTCTTCTGACTCTTTCCTTTTTGAGATGGCCAGATGCAAGTTGTCTTGTCCAAGTCTTGGGCGTGATTCCATACCTGAAATTCCTCTTGAATACAAAAAGCTTAAGCACCATGCAGCCTCTGTAAAACTGCTGAAACCACTTCCGCATTGTAACTTTCCCCAGTTTTCCCCAGCGAGAAAGCAGAGAGCAGCAAGAATGTTGTCCCTCCATTAGCAGCCTTGCCCATTCACTTCTTTTTCATGCTGGGGCTTCTGGGAAAGGCTTCCCACATGAGAGGTGCTGGCATCTCCATACGACTGACATGCAACTCGCTTCCCCCTGACATGTACCTCCAAGCCATACGGACTGGGTCATGTTTCGCTAAGCATTTTGAAACAAAACATGCAGGAATTAGCATTAAATTTCTGCTGCTACCCTGCAGTCTTCCCTGGCTTTTTGCAGTTCATTGCAGATTGGAAGGAGGGGGGACTCAGAGACTCTGATATCCTCCTGAGATCCGGGGAAAGTTATTAATATTGATTAAAATATTGATTTGACAGGAAGAGGAAGTTGGCATGGTCACACCCCGCAGATATGGTGTGATATATTAAAGCCCTAACTGCCCTCTTTAAGGAACAACAGGACTTAGAGTGGCACGTATAGAATGAGAAATATGAGCACAACACAATGTCCTCTACAGAGGACATTAAAGAATTGCTGGATCTCAGAAGTATATAGCTGCTGTTCCTAGTAGCTGCATACAATGAAAGGAGGTGTCATTTAACTCTGCCACATTGTCATAGTTACGGTAATCCTGCATTCGATTATCTCTCGGAATTCGGAAATTCCGAGATAAGTGGCATCACGTCCGACATTCCCCGTTCGAGCTACCACATCTCAGAACTAACATGGCTGCCTCCATGAACACGCTGTTGTGTGTTGTTGCTTTATATTTTAGCAGATTTGTATTGAGATTCTTTTTTCTGAGAGACATACAAACAAGAAATACGAACTAGTCAAACCACATTAAAAGCTTTTTAAAATATGTTAGTACATTCATAGCGATATTCTTTTTTCGAGAGGCAAACTACAAACAAACAAAATACACTAACAAGTCTGGTAAAAATCTGATATTGCATGCTAGGATACTGTTTACGGTCATGAAATGGTATTGTCTAAATCGAACACGTTCAATTACATTTATAACTATTAATACATTTAACAAAATAAACATTTAAAAATATTTATAAAATGGAATTGTTGTTGAGTGTGTAAGCCGCCATGTTGAACTGACATAACAGGGGAAACTCAGACAAGAAAATTCTGTCCGACATCAACATCATAAAAAGGCATGTTTCCGACGGGAAGTGATGTTTTTCATGACGTTTCGTGATGTTTTCATCCGAGTTCTGACTCGGACAGAAATAATCAAACGCAGGATAATAGTACTCCTGAATACCCTGTTGTATTCATTGTGTGGAGAGCTCTGATCGGCCAGAGAAGAATCGCTTTTCTGAGTAGGGAGTGAATATAACTTCTCGAATTGTTTCATAACAGAAGCACACAAACAGTACTACTCAATGACAACTTTACTGAATCAACTGAGCAAATTAGAAGTGATGCCTTGTTTAAATTTTAGTTATACATTTTGTGAAATTCCACAATTGTGAAAATTGTGAGATGTTTAACTTAAATGTAATTGTAAGCACTATATTTTGTGGTGACTGGTAGTTTAACTACCAGTATGCATCAGACTGTGTATGTAAAGTAAATATTTTTCTAAATTGTACTAAAATTGTAGTTTAGCTCTGAAGTTGTACACAAAAGACAAAACATCCAGTCATTCTAAGCAACCATTCGGCTAGTTGGGATCCTGGGAAAAGCAGGGCTAAAAGGAAAGCATGCATTAAGGTCAGTCGAGAGTCAGCAGTTTACCTGTGTTGCACGTTTGTGGATATTTTGAAGGAAACCACACTAGCTAGAGGAAACCCATACAAACACAGCAGAAAAATAAAAAGCTAAGTTTGCGATACATGGAGCCAGATTCAAACTGTGACTTGCCAGGTCACTGCAGACCTTTTCAAATATTTGTTCTTGGTTATGAGGAGGGTCGTTTCATCCTGACATGGATATCGTAACAGATATTAAGGGGATAAGGTGTCACTGAGATTGGTCAATGTTCTGGGCTACAAATTACATACTTTCCCCTTCTTTTATTAATTTACAAAAGAATGTGTTTTTCTGTCCCCCTCACCACCACAGAGCCCCCAGATGGGCACCTTTATGGGTGTGTACCTGCCCTGCCTGCAGAACATCCTGGGCGTCATCCTGTTCCTCCGGCTCACCTGGATCGTGGGCACGGCGGGCATCATGGAATCCTTAGCCATCGTCTCCATGTGCTGCACATGTGTATGCCGTCTTTCCCTTACTCTTTGTGTAACCTCTATTTGTCACTGTAGCTGACCTGGGCTAATATTCATTTTACTAATACTTTACTAAATGTTAAAGAATGTTTGTTGCAAATTTGACCCATCATTTACTTTTCCATTTACTTTCATTTAGCAGACACTTTTGTCCAAGTGAGGCAAATAGCACATTACAAGCATATGGCTGTCAAGGAGTTTGCCGAGGTATAAGTGTAGCTAGGCTGAGCTTCCAATGAATGCCCAGGTTCGAGTGTAAGCAGTACTGTAACGAGAGCTACACAGCGTCTTCCAACAAAGCGCTAATTTTCTCTGTGTATTTGTACGTGTGCTTGAATGGCTGGGAGTTCGTTAGATGTTGATCCCCAGCTAAATGTATAATGCCGCTTAGTTGATTACACCTGGCAGGGAAGTAGAAGTAATCTTCAGAGCTTGAGTGTTTGCACCACCATATGCTATTTATAACACTAGGACTCAGTGGAAACTTGCCCCCTGGTGGACATCATATGCCCTTGGCTTTTAGATTAAGTGCATTCTGTTGCAGTGCTGCTTTCACAAAAAAGAGACAACTGATTCTCTTAAAGCTTCATGCCAGAATGCATTACTTTTTGGAGAATGGCTTAAAAGTTTATGCCTGTGACCGAAAGGCTTGCTAATAATCATCCTTCAATCTTTCGATTTTCCTGTTAGATTCTTGCAGATCTATTCCCTTTTTTCATTTTAATTAGTCCAAAATAGTAATTAAGGGCATATCTGTATTTCTACAGACACTCCTGACAGCCATATCAATGAGTGCCATCGCAACGAACGGCGTGGTTCCCGGTACGTGCTTGTTATTGGTTTATTGTGGGTTTACCTCTGATTTTCTTTTATATTTATGTGATCCCATGTTCACGTTAACCAATGGTAATGCTGGCAGACTGACACTTATTTCTATGTATTTTTTTTAAAGGGATTTCTAGCTTGACTCCTTTGTGCTTTGCAGATAATTTACAATATATGAGTTTTGTTTACATGTCTTCCCATGAGTTAAATGGATAGATGCTCAATGCAAGTATCTTGCTGAAAGCTGCTTTCCAAAAGAACATCTCAGTTAAAAAGCATACAGGGTTATTTTCAGTGATTTCGTGTCTTTTTTTCGTGTAAGTTTTTTTCTAAATGTCTTTTTCTAAGTATCTTGCAATACCTTTTACGTGACTCATGTATGAGTGTGCTTTTTCCGAAAAATTTAATCAAATGATTTTATTGACTCTGATCTCAAGTTCTGAGTTAACCAGTAGGAGCTGAATGTATTAAGATATCAGAGATCACTTATACCTCCATTATGAATAATGGCTTTTCTGGTTCCTGAGCCTTCTCTGAAATGGAGACATTTGTGTCTGTTCCTCTCACAGCCGGTGGTTCTTATTACATGATCTCAAGGTCGCTGGGCCCTGAGTTCGGTGGAGCCGTGGGGTTCTGCTTCTACCTGGGCACCACCTTCGCTGGCTCGATGTATATCCTCGGCACCATTGAAATTCTCCTGGTAAGTCTGGCCATACAACATCTAGCTGTTTTTCATTGTGGAGTGAGGTGTGGTTTCTGTTTGCTGACTGACTAAAAGCAGAAATTCATGGCATTTGTGCATATTGTGTGGGAAAGCATCCAGGAAGGGGCACATCTCTGCTTTTACTTAAGCACAAGAGCACTGTGGTCTGCCGGATATTCATGAGTATATATTGATTTACACACATAGCTTTTCTCCAAGGCAACATAGGGGTCTGTGAAAATAATGATCATGTAAATCAACAGTGAGGATCAGCACCAGCATTATTTTATGACATTTTTCATGTAGTATTAAAGTTCACATGACCTCCCATTAGAAGGTTTTGGGAAAAGGTCCATCAGACAGTTTGAGTCTCTCCTCCCAGACCTACATCGTGCCCAGTGCAGCCATCTTCAAAGCAGAGGAGAAGGAACAGGAAGCTGAAGCCTTGCTCAACAACATGCGTGTCTATGGCACCTGCTGCCTTGCCCTCATGGCCCTCGTGGTCTTTGTGGGGGTCAAGTACGTCAACAAGCTGGCCCTGGTCTTCCTGGCCTGTGTGGTGCTCTCCATTCTGGCCATCTATGCCGGCGTCATCAAGACCACCTTCGATCCCCCTAACTTCCCGTGAGCTTGCGGCCCATGCCCAACATTTTCTCCTCTTCTGTAATGTTTACGGTGTCTTTGTCGCCATCATGACGTTTATAGATGTGTGACTGAGCCTTTAACATTTTTGGTGTGTTTCAACTTTTTAGATAGTAAGGCACTATGGTCACAATAGTATTTTTTTTAACTGAATTGTAACCTGAAGCTCATTTGTGGAATTTAAATTTTGCAGTTTAAAGTTTGTGGCTCTCCAAAGACTCCAAAGGCTTTGTAGTGTTAGGGTTAAAAACTTTAAAACATCATAGAGAAACAGAAACTTATCTGTGTACGTGCAGAATTCACCCTCAGGAGAGTCACATTTATTCCCAGAATCAAACCAATGTGACGTTAAGTCCTCTTTGGTTAGTTTCCGTTTGGAGGCATTTGATGATTGCCAGGACGTTATGAAATGCAGAATTTGCAACAACTGACATTCGTTGTCCCTGCAGGGTCTGCTTGCTGGGAAACCGCACTCTGAAAAACCACAACTTCGACAAATGCCTTAAGACAGAGGAAGTAGGCAACGGGACGGTAACTACCAAGCTTTGGCAGCTCTTCTGTAACAGCTCAGAGCTCACCGCTGCCTGCGACAAATACTTTGAACTCAACAATGTGACCGCGATCCAGGGCATTCCCGGACTGATGAGTGGGGTCATCTCAGGTGAGGAGGATCCACCTCAGTCCAAGGCACATCTGGATCGGTTCAGGGAAGGGCCTGACAGTCATACAAATGTTAAGTTATGGACATTAGCTCATTTAAGTTACGCTCACATTACCAGGCTGAAGTGACTGGTGAGTTTTTGCCTTAATGCGACACAGACTGTTTTCAGGGCTGTGTGGACATAGAAGTCTAATCTTTTCAAATCAGATTTGAGTAACTTCTCATATGTGGTCCTAGATTGGAGACGTATTCCAATTTGTGGCCATATGACATGAATGAAAATGGTCAGATTTGCATTCTTCTGATACTATATGCATGAGAAGAACATTTTTGTTGTTGCTGATGCAAATGACTTGAGCAAAAACATATAAATGTGCGCATACTTGCCATTTCAGAGGACAGATGTGTTCAAATTGCAGTTAAATACTGGTCACTCTAGCTCTAGAAGAACAGGACATTAGGTGGGGAGCACTGGATGCGATGGCTATCTTTCTCAGGGCATGCAGGCAAACGCTTTGGGCACAAATTCACCTAACTGCATGTGTTTCATTAATATAGTCATCAAATATCTTTCAAAAATAACAAATAACAGGTAACAAGACCCCAGACAAATGTTTGCATAATAAGATGGTATACTTTGTAATATGGTTCTGGGTATTTTTTTATTATTATTTTTTATTCGAAATGGTTCCTGCAAGTTAGGGCTTGATAGAGGAGCAGTATGTGCCTCAGTGGGCTAAGCCTCTGTGCCTGTGATCAGAAGGTTGCTGGTTCAAGCCCAGCCTGGCCACCTCTATGGGTAGTGCCCTTCGTAGCCTCTTGTGGAGAGAAAGATGGGGGAGGTAAAAAGAGACTTTCCCCTCAGGGATCAATGAAAGTATGTATTATTATTATTACTCAGAATGGACACCGAGCACTGAATGAAGGCCTGACTGGGCTAATTCTTATTCTAATGCTCGTTCCCTTCCATTGACCTTGAAGACCTGTGGTCTTTCCCATCTGCATGGCCTAGTGATGGAGTGACTGGTGACTCTCCACCTCTGTGCTGCAGAGAACATGTGGGGTAGCTATGGGCCCGTGGACACGCTGGTGGAGAAGAAGCACTACCCGTCCATTCCTGCTGCAGACTCCTCCATGGACATCAACCTGCCATACGTGTCCAATGACATCGCCACATTCTTCACTCTCCTGGTGGGCATCTACTTTCCTTCTGTCACAGGTGAGAACAAACATTCGTATCTTATCTCTGGTTGCAAAGGACTCATTTGTCTCTGTAAGGCACTGGTATGAACAAATATTTTATCTTTAAGTCTGGTAAGAAGGTATTTACCTCACTTTGTCACTGGTAGGAATATATCTTTTTGCCTCTGTGACTTATTAAAAAAAAATGTTTTTTTTAATCTGTCACTGATAACTGTACGTGCCGGTATCTCTGCAAGAGAACATTTATCCCTTGCTGTGATGGGTAAAATTATATCTCTTATCTCTGTGGCTCTTAAAAATAAGTATTTTATGTCTGCTTTGATAAGCTCAGATGAGGTAGCCTCCATTTATGGAGTTCGCTTGGCCCCTCGGGGTTTGATGCAGCTTTCCACCCAAAGCAAAAATGTGAGGTTAGTGAGACTGGTGTCTGGTAATTGCCGTTAGCGTATGACTGAGCGTGAGAGAGTGTGTGAGGGAATGTGTGCACAGCCTCACACCTCATGTGAGGGAATGTGTGAGGGAATGTGTGCACAGCCTCATACTGTACCTCATGTGAGGGAATGTGTGAGGGAATGTGTGCACAGCCTCATACCTCATGTGAGGGAATGTGTGAGGGAATGTGTGCACAGCCTCACACCTCATGTGAGGGAATGTGTGAGGGAATGTGTGCACAGCGTCACACCTCAGGGCTCAATTACTTTTTACCAAGTACCATCCAAGGTCCGCTGCATTTGCCAGCTGGGGGTTATGGGTGTGTCGATGATCATATTTGCGGGGTGGGTGGGTGGGTGGTTGTGTGCGGAATGTCTGTATTGCTCGAGCCAAACTTCTGACTCTCGTGGGTCATCATCTGGGGAACCCTGATATAAAGTCCACATTAGTCCACATGCATCTTCTGTTCTGCTGTATTTCCTTCCGGATGCAAACTGGAGTCGTAATACTTATCCGTTCCATACCAGATAAGTCGTTACAAATGGTGGATGGATCTTTCTTGTATATTCAGGCAGATAATACATATACCATAAACATACCACACACACGCACACAAACACACACACACACACACACGCGCGCATGCACATATATATACAGATGAGAGCAAAGCTTGGAGTCAAAGTGAAAGCCATTTATCCAGCGCTCCTTGAGCATTTCTGGGGGGTTAAGGTCCTTGCTCAGCATTACAGTCAGTGCCCAATGATGTCCAGTCCATGGATTTCTCAGCACCCAATGGGCCTGTGTCTTAACATAAGCCGGCCTCGACATGCTGGAAATGATGCCCCCTTGTGTTTGTTGCAGGCATCATGGCCGGTTCAAACCGATCCGGAGACCTGCGGGACGCCCAGAGGTCCATTCCCATAGGAACGATCCTAGCTATAGTGACCACGTCTTTGATCTGTATCCTTCAGCGTGTGGAGACAGTGATGCTGAATGTGATGACATCACTGGGAAAATAGCATAGTGGCGCAAATGACAGTGTGTGGCGCTGTGGGGAATCCAAGCGCCAAGCGCGGTGCCCTTTGACCCCAGAAGCTGTGTTCTCCTCAGTAACCCTCTGCAGATATCTCCTGCGTTGTGTTGTTCGGCACCTGCATCGAAGGTGTGCTTCTGAGAGACAAGTAAGCCTTGCTTTTCACATTTTTTGGTGAGATGACATCTGTGAATGATTATACAGAACAGTTTGTGAGAAGAGAAAAGACAACACAGCGTCTGTCTTCAGCACATCGAAAACATGCAGAAAAACGAGACCTGCTAAAGAATTTGAGATACATTAGATGTGAGTCAGTTGCTGTTAATTTCCTTTGATTGGTCCCACCCTGTGGAGGGAGCTGGAATGGTTTCCCTGTCTTCAGCACATCGGGCATTTCATAAACACACACACATACACACACAGCCGTTGCATGTTAAAGGGACGTCTGTCCTGTACATGAGTATGATGAGGCTCGGTCCGGCCTGGAGTTCTATAGACACACCATTGCATATCCATTTTGTCACTTCCAGTGGTAGCTTTTGCTGCCCTATGTCCAAATAATGACAATTAAACAGCTTTTGAATCAGTGTTTTACTTTTGCATGTGTACATCTGTGCATGGACAAACACATGTATGCACGCGTGTGTCCGTGTTGCAGGTATGGAGACTCCGTGAAGGGGAACCTGGTGATCGGCACTTTGTCCTGGCCCTCGCCCTGGGTCATTGTCATTGGCTCCTTCTTCTCCTGCTGCGGGGCCGGGCTCCAAAGCCTCACAGGGGCCCCGCGGCTCCTGCAGGCCATTGCCCGCGATGGCATCGTTCCCTTCCTGGAGGTCAGGCTCTGACACGCGCACACACACCCACACACGCATGTACCTCGCAATGTCTCCATGACTGAAGCCACCTTGGCCGCCCACCTCCAGGTTTTCGGTCACGGCAAAGCCAACGGGGAACCGACGTGGGCTCTGCTGCTGACCGCGGCCATCTGCGAGAGCGGCATCCTCATCGCCTCGCTGGACGCCGTCGCCCCCATCCTCTCCATGTGGGTACTGCAACATCCTTTTATGGGAGTGACTTTGCTCATGATTTCGGTTTCCCTGTGGTGCTGTGGAGCAGTTGGTCGTTGGGTCATAACCCACTTTTTTAAACGTTCGACCAAAATTTATTCCACAAGAAGTACAATCTTCATGCCTTTTTCAGAAATTGTACAGTTTTTATCATTCCTTTTATTGTTCTTAATATTCTTTCTCTGTAACATCTTTTGTTATTTCGTGGGAAAAGTGTCTCAGTTTAATTCAAAGGTTATATGGCGATCAACCATCAGGTAAAAGCCTTCTTTGCTTTTTCTTTGAAATTGTGCAGGTTCTTCTTAATGTGCTACCTGTTTGTCAACTTGGCCTGTGCGGTTCAGACCCTGCTTCGTACCCCTAACTGGAGGCCCCGCTTCAAGTTCTACCACTGGTGAGCCGTTTATTCACGTCAAGTTCCTCGTATATGAGGAGATCCACAGGGAGGGCTCCATCCTTGGCCCTGAAGGTCACACCTCAGTGCTGTACGCTGAGCCACCAACCTGGCCGTAATACAACAGAAACTAAAATCTAATGATGCGTATACTCAAAGCGGTGTCACCAATCACCAAAAATTGTATATATGGACATTGATTTTCCATGGTAATGAATACTACCATAAACGTCCAGTTCATGCCATTTCAGACTTCAGCTGAGCTGAAACTAGCTTTCTGAGACTTGGGGATACAGCCCCCATTACGGTGGAGATAGCCCCCTTCCCCCCTTTCTGGTTAGATGCTCTGAACCCTCCCCTCCATCTCATACCGCATGGTACATTCCAAGGATCCCAGCAGGCTTTGTGAAGGAACCGGGTATCAACCTTCGGCCTGAGTTTTTGAAGCCAGCCAAAACTAGCATTTTGTTTAATTTATGAGGCATTTAGGGCACCCTGCAGGCTTTTTGGGGTTTCTCCTCGAGAGCTGTATGGCTGTCATGTTTCCCCTCGTTCCCACAGGGCCCTGTCCTTCCTGGGGATGAGCCTGTGCCTTTCCCTGATGTTCATCTCCTCTTGGTTCTACGCCCTGGTGGCCATGGTGATTGCCGGGTGCATCTACAAGTACATCGAGTACAGGGGGTAAGAGGAGCATCCCCATACAGCAAAGCACGGGTTGGATTTATTTTATAAAATCTGATTTTCCAGGAGAAAGAGGAGGGGAATTAATGCATCTGAATCCTTTGAGAGCACCTGTTTTTATTCTTGAGCTTTAAAAGGCTCTTAACTATTGAAGATAATGAAAATGATGTATTTTATTTAAATCGCCTCATTTTTTTCTCAGCATTTCTTTTTGGTATGTTTAAAATAAGCACCATTTCACTGATTTCACTTAGTGTGACATCCAGGTGATACTTATAAGTAGATCTCCTCTTGTTGCTCTGGTAAGCACATGTGCTGTATGTGCTCTCTTGGAGTCCAGCCTGCCGACGATGCCTGATGTCATAGCAGCCCCGCCCTATCTCTCATACGCACACACACACACACACACACACACACACACACACACAGCAAGCTCATTGCTGCCCTCTTTTATCTCCAGAGCTGAGAAGGAGTGGGGTGACGGGATCCGGGGCCTTTCCCTCAACGCTGCCCGCTACGCCCTGATGCGTCTGGAGGAAGCACCACCGCACACCAAGAACTGGAGGTGAGGCGTGGAAGGCGTGAAGCGTGTGCTGCTCAGCCCACTGTCAGGCAGAGCCCACCATCAGGCAGAGCCCACTGTCACACAGAGCCCACTGTCACGCAGAGCCCACCGTCAGGCAGAGCCCACTGTCAGGCAGAGCCCACTGTCAGGCAGAGCCCACTGTCAGGCAGAGCCCACTGTCAGGCAGAGCCCACTGTTCCACACCCCTCTCCGTCCTCTTGGAAGTGATACAGCTTCTCCTGCCATAATTTCCAGATTTCACTCTCTGCCTTTGCGAACGTCAGCATACTCCTCTTATTTCCATGAATTTATTACACTATTACTTAGAATTTATCTCAAAGTTTAGGGAATTGCGTAAATTAAGCCATCAATGCAAAACCAGTGCAGCCCATTGTTTCATTCTATTATAAATTGTCGCCATGGTAATCTGGGGATGGCTTTATTGGTTTGTTTTTTTATCCTGGAGGCCTATGAAATTACTCTGCTGAAAGATAAACCCCCAACATAGGAAGCTGCCAGACCCGCGCATATGGAGACTTTGTGGTGGAATCGAGGTCACACAAGCTGTTCCTCTCCGGCCCAATCCCGCGCCGGGCCTCTCCTGTTGATATCGATTTGTCGGGCCATCTGGTGCCCTTCAGCTCCGGCCCTCCTTCCCGTTGCATTCCCGGTGTTCCCTAAGCCTCTTACGGAGGCCGGGTCACTTTCAGCTCAGCCTCATTTGGCCCAAATTATTCCTGTCTGCTTTAGCTGAATCTCCTTTTGATTTATTATTTGGGCAAAGAATGCAAGTTCAAACAACTGTCTCAGGCTACCCCAGTAAAAATATATTAGTGGCTTGATTTCTGTTTAAAATGCACGACCACAGGAAGCTGGCTTGGTTCAGCTAGGCATGAGCAGGAAGCCCATCTGCTCCTCTCTGCTTTCAGTTTGGGATTTTAGGATTTCAGCCCAGTAAATATGACTGGGAAATGTGTGCTCCAGCTGGGGAGGGGGCCTTCACTCTATTGGGGGTTTCCTGAGGGGCTGCTGCTTGTTCCCTGTGCTCTGCAGTAGCGGTGGTGCACCATCATCATGTTGTATCCCCCTCTGCACCCCCCCTTCCCCCTTTCCACTCTCAGGCCCCAGCTGTTGGTGCTGCTAAACCTGGACTCAGAGCTGGCGGTCAAGCACCCGCGCCTGCTCTCCCTCACCACCCAGCTAAAGGCTGGAAAGGGCCTCACCATCGTGGGCTCCGTCCTGGAGGGCACATACCTCACTAAGGGGCTGGAGGCCAAACGGGCCGAGCAGGTGAAGGAGAGCGCATCCCGGGGGCAGTCGGCTAGCTTATTTGTTGCCGTCTTCATTTACATTTCCATTGTTCCTAAACCGGACTAAACTGGTCTTAATAGGCCAATATGTGTGTGAAGGCTGCCCCCTTCTGGTAAACTAGCAGAATGCCTCATTCTGCCAAAGACAAGAAACTGCCTAGGACAGTTTTTGTATTCTTAAATATTGAATGATAATATTAGATCTTTTTATTATTTCTTGACAGTTGGCTGACTTGTCAGTGATGAGGGATTATTCTGTGTTAATCGTTTAGATGTTTCTGTGCAGTAGTTGGCATTTACCAGCACATTTGGGTGCTGGTGGTGCTTCTCATACTGTATGATGCACTAAGGAATTCTGCAGAAACTAAGATCTCTTTCTGTTCTCTTAACGAGAGGCTTTGCTTTCCCCACATTTTCACCAGCCCCTAGTCAGACAAAGGCAGAGCACAGAATTCAGCTGTGAAGGACTTCAATAGGCTTTCGGAAGACCAGGATTTCAATGCAGTTCTTCATTGTAGAATTTTACCACAGATTGTAGTTGTGTCGTATTGCCGATGGCCTATTTATTCATGTGTGGCTCTTCAGCCTTATTAAATGATGTGTTCTTGGTTTCTGTACCCTACCCATGTGTGTGCAGAACATCAAGTCTACCATGTCCACAGAGAGGACCAAGGGCTTCTGCCATGTGGTGGTGTCGTCCAATATGCGCGACGGCTTCTCCCACCTAATCCAGTCGGCCGGCCTCGGTGGCATGAAGCACAACTCGGTGCTGATGTCTTGGCCCGGGAGCTGGAAGCAGGGCGTGGACCATGCCTGCCTGACCAACTTTGTCGGTGGGTCTCCTTTTCTTTTCTGTCGGGTCAGGTGGAACGTGAGTGAACGATTTGGGGGCCAGGGACTGGAATCCATGTCCGATTCGTCCTACAGAGACAGTGCGGGAGACCACAGCCGCGCACCAGGCTCTCCTGGTAGCCAAGAACGTGGACAACTTCCCCGCCAACCAGGACCGGCTAAATGAGGGGACAGTGGACGTGTGGTGGATCGTGCACGACGGCGGCATGCTTATGCTGCTGCCCTTCCTGCTACGGCAGCACAAGGTGGGTCTCCATGGAGCCACGGGCGTTTTCCGGCTAGTGGGGCGCCGCTTAGCCAGTTAGCCAGCCAGCCTACCAGGCACCTCCCATCTCTGCACCGTCTGGTATGTAGTAGGGCGTAATGTCCCCTTCCCAACCCAGTCCAAAGAGTTTAGAGCAGGGGTGGGCAATCTTATCCGCAAAGGGCCGGTGTGTGTGCAGGTTTTTGGGATAACCTTTATGTCAGCTGTTCAAACCCAGGTGTGAGGACTCTTCAGCCAATCAGTCCTCTAATTAGTGACTTAATTAGGGAGTTGCAGCGAAAACCTGCATACACACCGGCCCTTTGCGGAGAAGATTGCCCACCCCTGGCTTAGACAAAGGACTGAAGAGCAGATTTTCAAAACTCACTCATACATTTTCAAGAAAACTTCCGTGTGCTTAGTCAGTTTTTTCGAAATTTACTGAAAGTTCATTGGATTATAGGAGGACTGAGTGAGTTTTGGTAACCGTCTCATCTCGAACATTGAGTTTTGGACATTTGTTCTTCAGTTACCAGGAGGGTCAGCAACACATGGCAGCAGTGGTTATTGATATACAGCCCAAAGGTTGTGGGTTCAAGTTCCTTGAGAGCCACTTGGTGACACTTAGAACAGTACTGACCCGGATCTGCCCAGTAAAACATCCAGCGCTGTATGTGAATGTGAACAGCTGTGTCACCTTGGGTGACAGCTTTGACAATGTGTAAGGTCAAGGATGGGCATCGCACCATTTGGGCTGGTAGTGTTAAGTAAGAGGCTGTCTATGCCGTAGGCAAGAGCTGGGAGCTCATCCTAGCCTGGAAATAGCTGTATTGAGCTGCAGACCCCTATCTCCTGGGGAGCCAGGAAGAACATAAAATTCAGCTAATTCCTGACCTGCTTGTCATCCTTCCCACCAGGTCTGGAGGAAGTGCAAGATGCGCATCTTCACCGTGGCTCAGATGAACGACAACAGCATCCAGATGAAGAAGGATCTGCAGATGTTCCTGTACCACCTCCGGCTGGATGCTGAGGTGGAGGTTGTGGAGATGGTAAATGACAGCCTGGTGTCTTTCTGTTTAATCATCCTGAACACCGTGAACCAGTGAGTCTGGGGGTAAGGCTCAAGGGTCTGACCAGTGGTGTTTAGCAGACAGAATGGCATGGTGGTAATTGGGTTCCTGCTGAGATTGAATGATCAACTTATACATTTCGGTCAGCTGTTGTTCTTTTGTGTAACCCAGCACGATAGTGACATCTCAGCCTTCACCTACGAGAAGACTCTGGTGATGGAGCAGCGTTCCCAGATGCTAAAGCAGATACATTTGTCTCGGACTGAGCAGGAGAGGGAGGTACGTACAGCAGCTTGTGGGTGACGTTGGCGAGTGGAATTCATATAGATCTTTTTGGCAAACGAATGAATCAATATGAGGCTTAAATTTTGCAATAATCAACAAAGTGTTTGATCACAGGGTTTCAGTTCTTTCATCTTTGCCTGGCAAATTACCGATACAGAAATTGGTTTTACAAGTTATTGGGTCACATTATTGTTGACTTTACTTTGCCTGTTTGGTCATGTGGAGGGGATGTCGGGGGGTGGAGGGCTCAATGAGCAGAGTTAGCATTAAGAGAGAGAATCGGAGAGGGGGGGCGGCGAGGTTGATGTGACAGCGACCGAATGGAAACTTGCGGACTCTCCGCTGGGGGGGGATGGTGCAGATTCAAAGCATCACCGATGAGTCACGCAGCTCCATCCGGAGGAAGAGCCAAGGCAGAGAGCGGGCCTCGGGCCGCGGCCAGCGGAACAGCGTTCGGGAGGACGAGGTAGTCCTGTCCCCCTCCCCCCGCTGCCGTGATGCCTGCCCTAAGATGAAGTGGTTTCTAAGCAACTCCAAGGCAGATGCCCTTAGAGACAAGCTTCCCACTCCCCATCCTCCCATCACCATGTTAGAAACAGCCGTGCCCCCCCCCCCCCCCCCAGCATTGTCATCTCTCCAGTAGTATTTCGGAACCCATCAGCTGGTGACCTGCTTGCTTCTGAATACCCAGCACCCCTCTGTAAGGCATTCTGTTCATTTATTAGTTCACCTGTTCCACAACTTCATTGCAGGAATGTGCCTGTGCATAAGTATACTATATTTTAACTGACTGACTGTGGCATAAGTAGTTCTGTTAAAGCTTTGAACTCGTCACCTGTATCGTGTGAGTTCACATTATATGATGTCTCCCTATGTACACTAGCTGCAAAGGAAGCATTTGAAAATATTGGATTCAAAGGCTGAGGCTGCTTGTAGATGGATCACTGACATCTTGAGTGACGAATTGTTGCTGTGCTTCATCTGCCATTTGGGGCCATTTCTTGTGTGTTTTCCTCCATTGGCTGCAGCTTTTCAGAAATACCTTTAGTTTTAAGAGGTTTCCTCAGCTCGCATGGGGATAGACTCCAGTGGCTTCTGTGCCAGACCTAAGGCTGGTGATGTGCCCTCAGCCTCTTCTGTATGTGGCACACATCGCTGACCCCGACCCCGCCCCCGCTGACCCCGCCCCCGCTGACTCCGCCCCTCAGGCTCAACTGATCCACGACAGGAACACGGCGTCCCACGGCTCGTCCCACGGCTCGTCCCACGACTCGTCCTACGACTCGCCCAACGCCAAGAGCGATGCCACCCCCGACCGGGTGCACATGACCTGGACCAAGGAGAAGATGTTCAGCGAGAGGAACCGAAACCGCGAGGTCAACGTGGGCGTGAGGGACCTCTTCAACATGAAGCCGTGAGTGTCTCCCTGCTCAGTCCTGCTTCACAGTTCTACGGCACCCCCTTAGACGATGTAATGGTGCGCAAGTACTGTGCATTTCGACCAATCAGATGGTGGTGGTGGTTTGACCACGCTTTCACCCCTGCTAACCTAGTAAGCAGGGCCATGTTAGTTTTGGTACAGCTCGAGTACAGCTCGGGTGTAGCTTGGGTACATCTCACATAATGTACAATGGAAACAGTCTCCACACTACAGGTTGGGTATGGTTTGGTTCTTGTTGGCAGTAGAAAAGCACCACAAGTTATTCTTCGAATGTTTTCCTGAAGCCTTCGCTGGCCCCTTTCTGTGCTCACACCTGTTCTCGTGGCCTTTCATAAAGGGTTAAACACCATAGGCTCTTTAAAAAGGCTCAGAATCTTCAGGTAGCATGAAAAAGAACGGGGAGCATAACGCCTGCAGTGGGCTGGACGCAGCTGGCATGGCATTGCAGGCTGACTCTAACGTCATTTGTGCGTAGACATGTCTAGCTGTGGTGTCCATATGCATGGCCTGACGTGGACACGTCCATGTTACTTTCACCAAGCATCTCATATTCGTACAAATCATCCGAGTATCTCGTGTCCGAACATCTATATGATTAAATATTTGTGTGTATCTGACAGGACGTTTTGTTCTTTTATGTGCTGAATGGTAATACTCCTACCTGGGTATTAAGTGAATACCATGTTGAAATACGGGGTTCCCTTAAAATCAAAATCAAGAAACTTAAATTGGAACTGATGGAATATATTGAAATCTAAAATACTGCAATCTGTATTTGTTGGTCAAAAAATGACGCATCTTTTCAAAGATGGACATCATGTGATGAAAGCAGGAACCCTAAAATTTTGCAGAAAACCTCTAAGTGTCTTTTTGTCGTTTTGTTCTGTCTTCCTCCTTCTAGAGAGTGGGAGAGTCTGTAAGTCACATTTCTCTTTGTCTATGCTGTGTGTGTGTGTGTCTGTGTTTGCGTGCGTGTATGTGTGTGTGACAGTGCTCATGCTCATGCTTTTCATAGCCTTGGGTTTGGCCACGAGGGCTGACCGGGGGATTTGGGAGTGGCAACCAACCTCCCACTCAACCCCCCCCCCCCCCCCCCCCCCCCCCCCCCCCCCCGCTACTGTCCTGTAAAAACCCTTTTCTTCCCAGCTGCAACTGCATGTATGGTAGCATTTGTGTCGTGGGGTATTCAGCACTTTCCACTTTTCCACCAAACCCCCTGAAATGGGGGCTGCCTCGTGGTCAGGAACACGATGTCATAGCAGAGGGGGGGGGTTCAGGTTTGCTTACCAGAGCTTTTGAGTGATACATCATTATCAGGCAGGCTTAGCCAGGAAGGTGCCCCTTTACACGGCATGTGTGCCCAAAAGCTTTGTGGCTCGCCGTCTGAATTATGAATCTTTTCATGTGTTTTACACCAGGCCATATTCTCTCAACAATAAAACTCATAAGTTTGTTCCAAAATAGCCTGTAATATGACACCTATGTTAAGGATACATAATTGACAGGCTCGTGAGATAAACCAGTTTTCAGTAGAGAAGCTTCTAAGTGAATTCTTAAATTAGATGTGCTTCAAGGACATTCCATGCTGACGACATGAAATTTAATTTGCCAATCCAGCTTTTCTGGCTCTTTGCCCAGCAGAAGCTCCTCTATTTCTCTCTTTCTCTCTCTGTCTCCCCCTATTGGCTTTGGCTGGGAATGGTGCTTGCTTAACATATTATGAATGCTGCTTTAATTGTCATTGAGCTGCTTCAGGCTGGGGGCTCGAACGTGGGGGCACTTTTTCCTCGACGTTTTAAAAGAGTGCTGAAGCCCCGGGGGGTTGGGTTCAGTGTAGTAGTTTATAGATGTAGCATTAGGATTAGCGCTGACAGCTCTACTTGACCGGACCTCACTGCTGGCAGAATTATCAGATGGGGAATGTGCCATGTTACAGCGGGGGAGATGCCGTCACAGGCGTTCTCCTCTGTCTGTCCCCTGTCTGGTGAGATCTAGTCCAGTGTCGTCTTCCCGGGAGTGCCCCTGAACACGCGCGTGGGCTACGCTTTGCTGCAGGAATCAGTCCAACGTTCGCCGGATGCACACTGCAGTCAAGCTGAACGAGGTGGTGTTGAACAAGTCCCAAGAGGCCCATTTGGTCCTGCTCAACATGCCGGGGCCTCCCAAGCACAGAGGTGGTAACGAGAACTGTATCCTTCCTTTTTACTCTGATAAGCGTGTCATGTGACTGACCACTCTGTCTGATTTATTATTATTCAGTTGCCAAGTCGATGTCAAATCCTCACAACCATATAGACAACATTTCTCCAGAATATTCTATCTTCTGCCTGGGTCTCCATTCATCCCAGTTGCATGTTGATCGTTGTGATTATTGAATTCATTCTTCCTCTTTGTCATGATTGCATTCCACGGATGGGAAATACGTATGATTCTGGGACCGGTCAGTCACCGCTGCTGCTGTACACACATCATTAGCACGATAAGTATTTCACAGATCCTTTTTAAACTTTATAGACACATTGTATTGGTGAACTTTTGAGACTGGTCAAATTTTGAGACGAATCACTCCAAAGAAGTGAAAGAAGTAGGAATTAAATGAGTGTGATGAGGCCGATTGTTGTCATTCCGACAGTATCTAGTTCCATCGAAGTGACAGTCTGTGCATGTGTCTGTTTCTAGGATCATGTGACTCTCACTCTTTTCTTGACCTGCTGCCTCAGACATGGAGTTCCTGGAGGTACTGGTGGAGGGGTTGAATCGCGTGCTCCTCGTGCGCGGCGGAGGCCGTGAGGTCATCACCATTTACTCATAACCGTGCTGCACAGTTCGGTACACCAGAGCTGCAGGGCATTATGGGAGGCCTATATCAAAGGGAAAGGGGTGGGGCCGGGTCTTCAGCATCACTGATGCGTTTCAGAACTGCAGGCTTATGACCACCTGGGGGTCCCAGCTGAGGACAGAGAGCAGCCTTTTTCACCAGCTGGGTAGCACACTTTCTTCCCCAGCATAGAAATTAATATTTATGGTTCCTTTGTATTCACTTCATTTTGTGTTTGTGTTCCTTTTTGAACACTCAGAAAAGATGTTTGTCATTAGGTTTATAAATTCAGCTGAGGACAACAGTGCAAATAAGAAGGTAGTCAAGTGTTATTTTTCTTTTTTTAAGTCAATGGAAAATTGGTCATAAGACTAAACAGAACATTGACCTCTGACCTGGGATGACCTCTGACTGTCCTCTGTAAGAAGTTTCATGTGTCACTTGTTCCTCTTTTGTCCAGTAGAGGACTTGTGCTTGTAGGGTTTAGTTGTGCTCGTGCTTGTGTTTCTATTTAATGGTATTTACCAGTACGTCTGAAGGCAATTTTAGAATGGCACGGTCCAGGCATGGCTGTCATGTGCTTTAAAGGTGCCCCACTTTCAGTTCAGTAATGTTTTTATTTTTTTAAAACAACAACATGAGGTACAAACACATCGTTTATTAGTCATTCTGGTTTGATACCCCAAATCACAATATCATCTCTATATCTGATGATTAGCAAGGATATATCAAAGCTAGGCACCAGGATCACATCCACAACATCAACACACGCTAGTCTTAGCGTTGAGGGGCTCAGGTGCCTTCAGCCTGATGGGGGGGTTGAGCCTGGTGGAGTTGTGCATGCAGTGCACACCATACCCACCGGCCTCTCCTGTAAGATGTGTGCAGATATGGGTAAAGCCATCTCACCGACAGTTTTAATGACAGTAATTGTCTGGTAAAAGCACCAGTCATCAGGAAAAAAGCCATAGTTCATATGGTAATGCTGGACCTCAGACATCGTGTGTTGTCAAGACTCATGGATTAGGCCATTGGCGGAAGAAAAACATTATGGGGTTGAACTTTTCAAATCGTTACCTCAGTCTCCAGTGAAGTATCATTTCAACCTCAGGCGACGGCCAAAGAGGCCAAATTTGAAGCCTGCCGTCCCTGTGGGGACAGAAAAAAAATGTAATCTATGCACCGTTATACGTTATGCGGTTGTGTCATTTTTATGTTTTAATCTGCATGTGTACAGCGGGCATGATCCTGGAGCTTAAAGGTGTTTGTGTTGTGGCGAAGGATTCGTTTTAGAGGCAAAGTCATGGGTGTCGGTTTTGACACCCACGCGTATTTGTTGGCCACCAGCAGAGAGAGACCGTCTCTGTTTCAGTCGAAGGGATTTTATCACAGCACTTTGGGTCTCATAAAACGCTTAAAGGCACTGGCTATTTTCGCGTCAAGCCCTGTGTCTTTGCAAGCTTGCGTATATCTTGCTTCACGGGAAGGCAGAAACCCCTTGCAAGTTAAACTTCACTACATCATGAAATACTACGTAGGCCACCCGTTTTGTTTAAGCTAATGTGTCAGGTCACAGGGAGCTTAACTAATCATACAGCTCTTGTAAAATAAGAATGAAGTAGGTTCTCCTCTGCTCATTATGGGGGACGACACCAAGTTGTGGTTGACTTCAATCCTGGGAGACAAAGATTAATTTGTCAAATATGGTGGAAACAATTAGCTTATTCAAATGCTTAGCATCTCAGTTGGAGTTGAGATTTATGGCCTCCCACAGGAAAAAGGACTGCAGGAATGGTGAAACACAACGGCTGCAGTCCACCTCAAAATTACCCACAATGCCTCTGCACACCTGAGAAGCCAAGTTTCTCTGTAAAGGTATTCCAGGGTGGATTAGAGACACACGCAGAGCGCATATAAACTAGCTGGTGAAAACCAAAGATTTAGACCAATTGGCTGTCCTGGTGCAGTGGAGATGTCTTTTCAACCAGCAAACACTAACTGTGAAGCAGTGCATGTCTGTGTTACTAATTTGTCAGCAGAGGGCTGAATTTGACCCTTGTCTAGTCTCACCACAGGACTCCACATCAATGAGAAAACTCTTCATTTGTGGGTTTTTACAGCTGTAAAGAGGCAGTTTGTCTTGCCAAAACTGGCCCCTGATCTTTGGATTACATGTGAAATGTAACATTTTAGGTCTTTAGGCGTCTTAATTGTGTACAGAAAAAAGTGCCAAAAACATTTAGAAGGAACTGTGGAAGGACACGCCTTGTATGAAGGACACGCCTTGTATGGACTCACCTGGAACATTAAAAAACTAAAAGATCCAACCTGACAAGCTGCTTACTTTCTGCTGTGTAAAGATTGGGTGATGTGATGGCAAGGTGCATTCTGAGAAATATAGAGGTTCAGTTAAGAGGTTTGGTCTTCCTTCTTTACTGAACTTCCCAGTGGGAATGTGCCACCATATCACGAGTTCTGGAGTTTTCTTAATGGATAATGAAGGGACTGTGTTTCTTGGCCTCCTGTGAACTGTAGCCCTTTTTCTCATTCATGAATTAGCTGAAGCCCCCCCCCCTTTAACAAAAAAACCAAGTCAATACATGTTTTCAGCAGAAGCCTTTGGTCATGAGGTCATCACCATTTACTCATAACTGCAGCATGGTTTGGGACCCCAAAGCCGCAGTGCATTTTGGGTAACCTGTAACGAGGGGGAAGGGCTGGGTCCACCAGGGGTGCCAGAGAGCAGCCTTTTCTACCAGCTGATTTACAAGCACACTGTATCTTCCTGCACAAAAATCCAAATTTATGGTTCCTTTGTATCCACTTCGTTTTGTTTTTGTGTTCCTTTTTGAACACTCAAAAAGATGTTTAGGTTTATAAATTCAGCTGAGGACAACACTGCAAATAAGAATGTAGGCTTGTGTTGCTGTTCTTTTTTGCCTGTTTATTACAAGACATTACACGTGTGTGGAAGAATGCTCTGGTCATACCCCTAGACAAGCGGACCGCTTTTGACATAGGCTGCAGATAGTACCCCGCAGTAGTCATTAGTTACCACCAGGTGGCACCAGTATAACACTCATGAGCCAGGCATCTTGAGGGCTCCTTGACAATGAATGTCAGGTTTTTTCGTTGCTCTAAAGCACATTTTATTTGTGTGCTGTCTGACTAAGGGAATTTCTCCCTGTGTAGTTCCACACCTTTGAGCATTTCTTAGTTTTACGATATATATTTTTTTGTAACCATAACATTGTACTTTTTTTAAAGTATGTTGTGAACAAAGTGTGGCTGTTTTTAGGGCAGGCCTGATGTCCACCTAGATGTTTTCTGACTACATTTATTTCAAAATATGCGCTTGTGTCATTTGTGGTTATTGTGTGTGCAACTATTTGCACGTGACTTCCTGTTACTTGCCATGTTTTTTTTTGGGGGGGGGGGGGGCGCAGTGGGGTAACGTTTGAGAGCTCTGGGTATCGTTGTATTTACACATGCTGTCCCCACCTGGAGCACTGTGCGAGCAGGACTTGCTGGTTCATCTCACCCAAGGAGAAGACACAGAACAACCAGGACAAAGGGAACAAGTTACATGTGTCTTTTGAAGGAAATTGATCGATATGTTTTTTTTTTTTTTTTTTACATGTTCAATGTGTTATCCACCAAAGATAACTTATTTGTGGGCCTGTCACATATAACAAATAAAAGGGCACTTAAACTAATCAGCTCCTCCTTCTCCAGGATGCTTTTCAAATGTTCTGGTGGTAAAAATCAGCACTTAATATATAAGAGAATGGTGTGATCTACCTCATAAAGGGAATAAGGGGGGGTTACCATGCTCACAGCCCGTACCGGCTGCGACGGTGGTTTGGGGGGGGGTTACACAGCATGTTAACATGCGATACCCCCCCACCCCCCTGCTTTCCAGTGAGTGCATGGCTTTTGCTGTCCATTCGTTATCCAAACCGGCTTCTGCTCGTTGAGCTGAGGGGAGGGTGCCGGCGGCTGGGGAGGCAGTACGTTAAGATGCACACTTTCGGCGGGAATGGCCCTTTTAAATGGAATTTGTGCCTCTGAGTCATGAATAAAGTGCTGAATGATACCGGACCGAATGACCCGGCTGTTATTGGACAAGCACATCCCCTGCGCAGACACCAGTCTTGGGCCGCTATGGCATCCGGTTGACACACCATGGTGTGGTGAGGCTACAGTGATGTCACTTAGCCGCTCCTTTGAAACACTGGCATAAGTGACCTTCACCAGCAGAGGGTATGGAGATTTTGCCTGACACTGATTCCAAACAATTAACTACTGACAACACTATTTATCTTCACACGAAGATTGTAATTCTGTTACAAGGTAGCTGAACAAAACCATTACAAACTGCATTACAGCCGTGTTGCTTCTCGTGAGAATGCTTTGTGCCTCTGTCTAGTCATTAGTATGCATAAAGAGGCAAGACTGAGCAGTTTTAGGTCTAATACTATAAAGAAACAGGGACAGATTCCATAAGATGCCCATAAGAGCGAGAAAACCCCAAGAGGAGGGTATGGTGACCCTGGCAAAGGGCTGGCAGAGGGAGCAGGAGAGAAACAGATTTAAATATGACATTTTGAGATTTCACAATTTACTACAGCAACACTGAAAATCAAAGGAATGCAGCAGAAACATTCAGATCACATTCAGATCTTAGCTGTATCTGGTGACATTGGTGGTGGAGGATTTCCAGAATATAGAAGTTTGGGACACTTGTGTTTTTCTTCAAAAGTACTCATGTGCTGCAAGAGGGTCAGCTGTGGTTTCACAACAATACCTGATGACCAGTGAAGTAGGAAGAAAGTGGCAGATGGGGAACTGCAATAAATGCAGATCTGTGGATAATGAAGATTTCCTTTGTACTGATGGTTTCCCTCTTGGGTAAATATCCCTAATCTTTTCAGTTTTCTCAAGTGTTGTTTGCATTTCTTAACATGACAGTGACAAAGATAGAGTTGTAACTGTTGTAACTGTCGATTTGTGTGTTAAAATTGCACCAGAATCAGAATCTTTATTTGTAAACTACCAAGGCCGGTGGAAATTTGTGTTGGCAGAACCTGTTATAGTTGGAGAAAGCATGACAAAGGGAACAGACAAATAGCATAACTTAGAGAGTAATATGACTCTAAACATAGCCTTAGTACAGCATTATTGATGGTAGAATTAAATATGTCTGACAAAGGATGATCAGTAAGGAACTATAATGAAAGCATCTGAAAGCCACACTTAATGACATTTAGCAGTCGTGAGTTCATGCTTTAACATCAACCTACAATACAATTCCGGGCAGCAGGATTTCTATCCAGGGTAACCGATTCAAACTGGTCTTTTATGTGACCATGTCTGCCCTCAGAGAGGAAGATATGGGCTGGTATCAGTGTGTCATAGATCAATTTCCATCCCTCATTGGCCACCATCATACCGTGAGTCTTATTGTCATCAAAGGTGAGAAACTGATAGATAAAGTGATTTTTTTTATATAGAGTGATGAGCTTTAAGCTAAGGGAGTACTGAAAGATAACTGATATTTTTGATAGGACAATAGAATTGATGCCATAATTAGTCAAACACAGCAACACTGCTGGCTCGGTGTATCTTTCATTCATTGATGTAAATCAGATATCAGTAGATGTGAGACTTACATTGTGTTTACACAATGGTTGTGTCACCAGCAAGTTGAACCACAACTGACCCCCCACATAATTCATCAATGGAAGTCAGTGACATCAAGGAATCAATGTAAGCGCTTGCTCTCAGTCACTGCACAAGTCTCTGTTTCTTAGTCAGAACTTTCTTCCATGACATCTTTATTCCACATCCATTCAGGTCAGTGAGCAGGGCATGACTTGACTGCAAACATACTAGACAAAGATAATAGAAGCTTACTATTAATAATAATTAATACTTTATTGATCTCTGTGGAGAAATGCTGATTATGTCTTTATGCCTCCCTCAACTTGCTCTTTGTAGAGTAAGCTGTCCATGAAGGGCAGCCACCTGTAGCGGCGCCCAGGGAGCTGGGGGTTAAGGGCCTTATTCAAGAACCCGCAGACATGCTGAGGCTGCATTTGAACTGGCAACCTTGTGATTACAGGCACACAGGCTTAGCCCACTGAGCCACATGCTGCCCCCATCCATCCAGCCATCCATCCATCCATTCATTCATTCATTTTCTGTAACCGTATATCCTAGTCAGGGTTGTGGGAGTTCCAGAGCCCATCCCAGATTCTATGGGCGCAAGGCAGCCACCCAGGATGAGGTGCCAACCCATCGCAGGGCACACTCACACACCATTCACTCACACACCATTCACTCACAGGCACACCTATGGGCATTTTAGTAACTCCAATTAACCTCAGCATGTTTTTGGACTGTGGGGGGAAACCGGAATACCTGCAGGAGACCCCATGATGACACGGGAAGAACATGCAAACTCCCGTGTATTCTCAGCTCAGATGTGAGTGTACACGGATAGGTCATGCATTGTTGGTTAAGCTATGCATCGTTACAAGAAACTATTGACTTAAGTAGACAGGCTGACTTCCCCTCTCTAAATACGTAGGTAAGTTGGGTTGTCCCCCTTGTGCTGAATTGTATTTAAAAGACCTACAAAGGTTCAATTCTGGGACAGAGTGTGTCCTATATATATTTTTAAACATATATCAGATTGCTAGCATATATATAACTAGCAATCTGATATATGTTTATAAATATATATCAGGTGGCCTAGTTTTTTAAGGTTTTCAAATGTAATTCTGATGGTAATTTCAATTTTTTGTGTTGTTTCATCAACGTTTATAGACTGAAAATATTAGATATTTTCTCCACTTCAGGTGGCAGGTAACACACTAGCTAAGAGCATGGACTGGTGAGCTAAAGTCACAGGTGGACCCTGGCTTTGGGCCCTTGAGCAAAATATTTACCCATGATTGCTCCAATAAGAAATGTCTAGCTATACGAATGGGTTAAAAAAAAAGCAGCTTTGAATTAAAGAGTGTTTGCTGAGGAACTAAATTGATGAAAAAATTTACATAAAGGGAGTCATCTAAAAATTAGCAAGGTGTGGTCTATCCTTAGCTGGGTCGTCTTTGCTCTGATGCTGGCGTGCACCTTAATGGTCAGCTGGTGGGAAAGGTCTCCAACATCTCCAACCTCCACATCAGGGGTCACGCCCAAGACCAGTGTGCAAGGACTCCCCAAGAAGGACCCTTCCAACACCTCCCTCGCACTGCACCTCCCCTCTGACGTTAGTTCGCTCTCGCAACGTGTATTCAAATTGATAACTTGGGATTTTCGTTTTTTTCTTCCTCAAAAATGAATCCATGTTGTGCTGCAATTCTTTTGCTAACTAGTGATCATACCCTGATTAAAGAAATCAAATATAATCCCAGGATTGTGTTTTTCAGCTGTTTTGAAGAAGTGACTTATACCACCAATTCATCTTCCAGCTGGCTATACTGGCCAGGGCTGCACTGGGGTTAAAAACTGGCCCTGGAGTTTGGGGTCCCACGCAATAAATTTAGCCAGCCCACAGATAAATGTCTGGTGTACCAGATAACCAAACCCTGTTCATAACGGCGTGGATCCTAGCCAAAGCAGCACAGGGCACAAGGCTGGGGTATACTCTGGATGAGTCCCCTGTAAGAGGACACCAACTGTGGTATATATGTTGACTATTTACAAAACCATTTATCCAAAACTGTGACACAGGTTCGAAATGAAATCCATTTCTCTTGAAATCTTTGTTCATATTTGTGTGTGTGTGTGTGTGTATATATATATATATATATATATATATATATATACACACACACACATATATATATGTATGTGTGTGTGTATCAAACCTTCTATTGAGGAGTAGTAATTGGGTTTACCCCTCTGTGTGACACAGCACAATTGGCAGTATTAATTTAACGCGAATGTTCATATGAAAACATCACAATTATCACTGCTAGTCTTCCAGGAAAATTTCGTGTACTCGATCGTATGACTTCCTGTCCGAGCAGATTTGAATAACATGGTCCTCATGATTTTGAACATCTAATATAGCTACTGGGGAACTCTTTGCTCTTTTTACCAAGATATTTGATGCATCAATACTGAACTTCCGCCGTGCAACCTAATAAGAAACACACCACAAAAAATGAACCGACAGGATCGTAATTTGCTTCAAAATATTATGGTGTGTGTACAGCTGTGTTGAAGACCCGGAATAAGCATGACCAGTTTGCTTTATGGTTAATATTTCACCACACCATCAGTGAATCCACAGCTGCATTAAAGACAGACGGTAATACCATGGTTATTTTGATTTAAAATGATCTATGTCGCCTGAAAAATATTAATATGTGTCGTTATTATTAGATTTTTGAGAAAGTGGAATTCTGCCCTGTCACTTGAGGGTTAAAACAGGGCGGGAGGGAGCTTGACGTATTCTGCATAGTGCAAAACAGCATTGCAACATCAATAACCAGCACTATAACAACTCCGGGCATCCCACAGCACGTTTTATTCACCGCTGGTTTCTTACAACACCGGCAAAAGAGGCCTATCTCAAAAAAACATGTGTTTCGTATTTATAAATACAAAAAAGAAATAAAGCTAAATAGTACATTTTTTCTTTCGCCTCAAAAGAGGGCGTTGCAGGAAAACAGAAGGTGACATGTCTTTGGGCAGAAGATAAGCGTGCGACGCTTGGAGGAGGAAGCCGACACGTAAAAGGATGAAACAGGCGCAGACTGATCGCGGCGTGCGGGTACCGACGTAGCTAGGTGCAAGGAAAACCCCAAGCACCGAGACCAGAAACCAGGGCTGATGCGAAAATGCGAGGCGCGTGGATCTCCCTCCGTGCAGGTGGATCGTTAACCTGATGGCACGGTTTAATCTTTCTCGTATATCTGCGCCTAGTTTCGGGTCAGTGCTGCTCTGGGTCTTAGGATGGTTAGCGGAGACGCTCGGCGGTAAGAACTGATCGTGGGCGAGAGGAGCCATGCTGCCCGGCGTCGGGGTGTTTGGCACCAGCCTGACGGCCAGGGTGATCATCCCCCTTCTGAAGAATGAGGGCTTCGCCGTCAAGGCGCTGTGGGGACTCACTCAAGAAGAAGCCGAGGAGCTGGCCAAGGAGATGAACGTGCCCTTCTATACGAATCGGATCGACGACGTGCTGCTGCACCAGGATGTGGATTTGGTGTGCATCAACCTACCTCCCCCGCTCACCAGGCAGATTGCCGTCAAGACATTGGGTGAGTCTCAGTCTTATTTGCAGCTGTGCGCAGGGAAACTATCGTATTTTGTTCGGATATTTATGCTTCTCGGCGTCTTTTCCTTTCACACTTATCGTACCCTGCTGCATCTTGCATCATGCGTTGAACTTCCTGCAAAAACGAAACGCCATCATGCAATCGCGGTGAAATTAAATAGGTTACCTACATATCTGGTACAAACGCATACCGAAACCGTGTAGCATGACATGCAACGGCTTTATGGGGCGTGTAATTTCCTCACTGGAGATCCCCAGTTTTGGCAGCCCGTGCAAGAGAGCCCAGAGGTTCGGTTCGGGAGCTGGATCTGGTGTGCAGACTGGCCGCAGGGCAGGTGCGGCTGGCTCGTAATGAAGGAACTGGCAGCGTGAACCGGTTTCCTATATTCCGTTCATCAGTTTGTTTAGGCTTTCGAAGAAACAAAGGGTCACATTCAGCTTCACAGCAAAGATGGATAGCTCTCTAAAAATACTGAAATATATTGGTCGTGTGCAACAGTATTTTTTGCAAACAATGGGTCCTTATATCCAAATGAAATGACACTTCATATGTTTTTGGAATGCGCGTTATTGGCTTTTTGATGAGCACTGAAAGCAATTAGAATAGGCAAGATATATTTTTGCATAACTATGTTGTCGCAGGTTTAGGTAGGTGAAGTGTGTGTTAGTATAATAATGAGGTGTTGTAGATCAGTATGATTTAAACAACCAGGCTTGAAATGGATGATTGAAAGAGTATGTGAACGGACTGTTCAGTTCAGTAAATCATCTAATGCAATTTCGCTTGCTGTTAGTAGTGCTCAGACGACATGTTATTGTGTCACGTTGCCAAATCACTATTTCTTTTAAAAGCACTCTAATCAGCATGGTTATTGGTCGTAACGACCGATCTTTTTTTTTCTGCACAGTAGACGGCGACTGTTTGAATCGGGTGTAGCTCTAGATTCTGCCGCATCTACTCCCGTGAAATGCAGGCAGGTTGAGGGATCTCAGGGAGGTGTTACCCTTCCCCGTCCCTCTGCAGGCAGCGTCCGCTCTGGATCGGAGGGCAGACTGACACATGCAGGTGTCTCGTGGCAGCAAAAAATAGCCCCAGCGTGTTCAGCCGCCGTCATGGACACCGAAAATAACTGGTGGACGTTCATGAAGGAAAGGGATCGTTTATGTTTCCTGGTTGACTGTTGATGGTTGGCATTATGTGGGCGGGGCGCTAAGGTTGACGAATACACTAAGAATATTATTAAACAGTATCCAGTGTCTGAATCAGTTTTAGTGGGGGGTGGCTTTATGTATAACACAATGCGCAGTATGAAAGTGAGGCAAGGGGTACCTTCATTTTGGCTAGTTTTTGGGTCTGGAAAATTTATATAATGCATTGTTTATTGCAAGGCAAATTAGTTTATAACCTTGTAACCTAGAAGTGCTTACTGTATGTAAGATATACATAGACGGAAATCAGTTTTGATTGTTAATTTCTCTTGTAGATTTCAAATATTTGTGCATATTACAGTCCTACCGGTTCTTCTGTTCACTGCCATGCAGGTGAGGGCTTCGAAAGCGTACTTGTACTGCAGTGGACTTTATGGAGTTATTAACCTGATCTGTCGGATCTTGCTGTTCAGTAAAGCACAATATCAGCAGGACTTATCGATCGTTAGTCCGCAGTAAATGGACACGAAATGGAATCGGAAAATATTTTGAATGGACTAATTAAACAGTTAGTAAAACAAAGGTTCAGCTAATTTCATAATCCAGCAAGGTAAGAAACTGATACTACCATGAACCGATGCAAAGCATCTTTGTTATTATTATTTTCTTTCAAATGAGTATGAACTAGGTCAGAGCTGGCAAAAGCTGGTTTTAAGTCACCCCAGCCCTAGCTCCTCCTGTGTAGTGTTCCCCCCCCATTTCTTGAGACATGCACAAAGGGGAGGCCTGTCTTGGGTCAGCACTGTTCCAGGTGATAGTGAATGAAGAAGCTGGCTCTCATGAGATTTTGTTTTTCACTCTCACGAGCTTGCAGACTGAAAGGCATCACGTATCCCTAATTGTTTGTGCTGCCAAGGAGGCCATGATAATGATTATGATTGTGAGCTGCGAAAATGTAACACATTCGATTTTAACCCTGTTTACACTCTAAAGATGTTTACAGCAATTGCATGTGAGGCATTTTTGTCCACATGAAAACAGACATGCCACAGGATCTTCCTGCTGATCAAGCACCCTGATTATGAATGTGAAAGTAAGACCTGCAGGCCGAACGTGTGGCTGATTTGCTGATTGGCTGATTGCTCTCCAACACACCGCATATAGTGCCAAGCGTTATGTGCAAGGTGGTGTGTCTGGGTGTCAATAAATATACACACACTGTCATTATCTTTTGCCGTTTGTCACCTGCCTTTAAATACTCATGAAACAAAATGCTGGAAAACTAGTTCTGAGTGGAAAGTTGTGGCAGAAAGTACACTGTGTATGGAAAGTATTTTTAAAAAAAATGCAAATCAACGCAGTGTTCACATTATTTATTGATCTACCCTTTTAAAACTGATTTACCGCTCAACCAAAAGCATTTGTTTTTTTTGTCTTTTAATAAAAAAAATACTTAATATAATATTTCCTACTTATTCATGATACGCACATGCCTTTCATTTCTTTGGCTCTATGATGACATCACGAGTTGCGTGATGCAACTTGTTGGCTTTCATAGGCCGAGGGAACAGGTTATGTCTGCTCCCACCCATTATTCAGGTAAACTCCATCGTTTTGATCTTCCCCACAGCCCCAAGAGATAAAAACCCCCAGCCTGGAACAATACAATACACCTCATATGCTGAGGCTGGAAACGCACCTGATTCTTTTCCTGCTCGCCCACGAGCCTTGTCACACTCTGGTGAACCAGTCTTTCCTTTCTGTAACAGTCTGATGTTACTGTGATGGGGCTATAAGCAAGTGTCATCGACTCCCAGAATGCTTATGCCTGATTCAGCTCTCTTGCAGCAATAATTTTGCAGATCATCCATTTGATTATACAATAGAACACTAACAATTCTGCCTCTCTGCTGCTGTTAGAATCTGTCACTCAGAATTCCTTCCTTCCCATCTGTGAATAATGTAAGGGTATTAACATATAAAAATTAAATGATCTTTAGGCTATGCAAATTCTATAATTTCTTTATTTTCAAGAACATGTCCTTTGTAAAGATGGTTCTTCCTAAGTTTTTTCACAAATGTTCAGGGGTGAGCTAGCTCCCAAAGCCTTCTTGACGCTATGTCGTTTGTATGTTCTATCTTTTAAGTGTTAAGTGTTAGTGTTAAGAAGGCTTCGGGAAACTCACCCCAGGTCTCTGCATTGTTCAGTTTCAATATAGACATCTTTGCTGGGCAGGTTAACAGAAGACCATTTAGATTTTCCTACCATCTAAACTCCTGCCACAGTCTAAACTCATTCTTCCCTTTTTCATCAATGTGAGATTTTAGTTTGACTGTGGAAATGACAGCAGTTTACCCTTTTGTCTGTCGTTGTTTGATGAGTGATTTTTTCTCTCCCCTTCCCAGCACCTAAACCATCATTTCTTTTCATTTCTTTGCTCTGAAAACCATTCCACGTGATGTATCCTGCAAGGGCACCTTCAATGGTACCTTGTTGCCATTGGTCTCACAGTTAGTTCTAACCAGAACAATCGATTCATTACTTTTATTTATAATATTCTTTTTCTCATTTTTCTTATTACCTTTACACACGATTTAAGAGATCAAATCTATGGCTCAAGAATATCTGTTAGGGGGGAGCTTACATCATGTCAGTCCAATCAGGTGCCTCTTTATTGGGTAGGTCTACATCATGTCTGTCCACTCAGGTGCCTCCTTAATGGTCTTGCATTATGTCTGTCCAATCAGGTGTCTCATTACTGGACAAAGTAGTAGTGGTGTTGCAGGGGTGCTTAATTATGCCATATTGTTATGCCACAACTGTTAAACTTATGTATTTATCTTGGCTGTATGGGTGTAATATGGGAGAGTTGAGAACCACACTTGACAAAAACCGCCCTGACACACACATACACACACACACACACACACACACACACACAAATATGCTTGTATTCATATCTTTGAGGGGACCATCCATTCATTTCTTTGGCAAAACCCCAATCCCAATAATGACAACCTTAACCCCTACCCAGTCCTAACCTTATCCATGAGTAACCAAACAAAATACAAGACTTTTGGTATTTTTAGTTTTTTGATTGCAGTCACAGATTTTTATTAAATTGAGTTTTCCCTTGTGGGGACTGAAAAAAATGATTGTCCACAATGTCAAAATAACAGATGTTTATCACACAGCATATAACACTCACACACACAAATTGCCGCACTTCTCTTAAAAACCTGTTTGATTTGCCCATTTACCTGGCCAGATCTTGTTTGGCCTTTCAGAGTTTTAGACCTGAGGGGGTGAGGGGTGGGGGGGTATGTAGGGTGGGTCAAATAACCAGCTCATCTCCACTGTTGTACACAAGCCAGGCAACCCTGCCTAAGAATAGTACCTGTGAGACCAGCTGTGGCTCTAGTAGGTTAATTAGCATTCTACTGAAAAGGACAAGCTGACTCGCTGCATTCGTTGTTAATAATAGTCATCTCTGAAGAAGAGTGTTGTGTCCAGGGCTTGTTTTTTGGTTGCGCGGCTGTGATGCACGTGGTAGAGGCGCAACGATGCATCTGTTGGCCCGTGTTTTCTGTGATGCCAGCTAGCCCAGCCTGTTGACAGGCGGGTTCTCCTTGCTGAGTACTTCTCTTCCTTTCTCCTTCTTCTTTCATGTCTGGGTGTTTATCACAGAATGGGCCGCACTCTCACACACAAGGCGGCGTGATTTTGTGTCTCCTGTTGATTCACACCCATCCAGTTAATTTACATGCTAATTCCAACTAGAAAGGTGCCTGGGCTTAAGGTCTTGTGAAATTGCCTTTGTTTCGGGCCCGAGT